TCGTCTAAATTAAGCAAAAATGAAAATAACACTGACATGTCATTTTAACAGATATATTTACCAAAATTACACAACAATATCTTGAAATGTGTAAGAGTAAACTCATTCATTAAAATCGCCACTGGTTTCAGCCACGGCGTCCAGACGACTTCAGAATCTCCTGCAACCCTTCTGGATGGTCTCCTTGTTTAAGTTAGTGTCTGCTGCCATAACCCCTGCCTTCAGTTCATCATTGGTGTTACAAGGAGTTTTGTTGGTTTCTTGCTCAACTGCGCCCCACAAATAATAATCAAGGGGGTTGCAGTCTAGGGAGTTAGGTGAACAGGTGAGGTGGTCGCAGAAATTGTCTGACATGATTGCGTTCTCCTGCTTGTGTGGCATGGCACAGAATTCTGTTGTCGGACATAAGAACTTCCAACAGCCACCCTCTTGACCTAGGGCAGCACTACCTCCTCAAGACGCTTGATATAGGCCTCTGTATTCTTTCTGAGACCCTGTGAGAAGATGAATAACGTCGACATCACTAGTGTCACACTATCGTAATCACCATTAGACTAATCCAACTCTTTCCAAATCCTCTACACCGTTCTCAGATAGACACGCAAACATTCTGTAATATTTGTATTGGGAGTTCCGTCGCGAATGCCAAGCAGTGCAGCATGCCGTTTCGAAATTTCTGGCGGAGTGAATTGCGTTATGGTGCTCTTTTTCTCACAGAAGGTGCCCAACTGACTCTACTATACTGTGCTGTCGATAAAATCAAAAACAAACAAAATTTAAAAAAAAAAATGAAATGGCGACTATTTACCCATCGCACTGACCTAGTCAAACATTCTAACAACAGTAAGAACATAACGAACTAGCAGTTTCATGTATGTTGCCATTGTTGAAGGCATAGTTAAATAAGTTATTAAATTCGAAGATCAGGTTTCTAATTTTCTTAAATAATATACCGATCCCCATTTTTGATGCGTATTAATAAAACTAGTGGACAGTATATACAGTAAGTCTTTTCGTTACGACGACAGTCTCGTTCTACGACGATTCGTGGTTACGACACCATGTCCCTTAATTTTGTTCCGACATGCCGTTTGCCTCGTACATACGGCGCGGCAGAAGAATACATTGCGCGGCTGAACAGTACGTTGTCATACGGCACTAGAGCGAGGAAGACGACGTTGATCAGTTTTTAGTTGTACGCCATGTTAGATTGTTGTGCATTCGCTCTCTTTCGTTTGTATTGTGTTTGTGAAAATGTATTACCTTTCATTATAACTTCCACGCGTAATGTAAACCCCTTCTGGTACCGGTGTTTTGAAAAAAAGGAAAACCATCTCCATTGAAATGAAATTAAATATTGTTAAAAATCTGAAAAGAGAGAAACATTCGCCGGTTGCTTGGCTTAAGTCATTTGGCTGTCGCTTAAAACATATGTGTATATATATTTAGTTTAGCTGTAAAGGTGATGACATTTTCTTGTTGAACTGTAAGATGTTCAATTCCCGATAGAAAAGATAAACAAACTCACGTTTGCTTCCCTTTCTTCTCCAGATTTGCTGCTGGTTCCCCAGTACTATGTAGGAGAGTTATAAATCTGAGTAGATTATTATTAAAAAAAAAAACCCTTACATTTATATATACAGAAATACTCGTACAAATGAGAAACACTAAGACGGGGAAACAACAAAGCAAGTATAGTTTATTATCTGGTTGTTTTGTGTTGTTGGAAACTCGAGAGACAGTAATATTGAGTAAAATTGTGAGTTTGGAGTCAAATGGAGATCAAATATAGATTAGAAGGATCAGATAAAGAATAAGTAAAGTGTATACAGCTGTTTTCATATACATAACGAGTGTCCAGATAATCTAGCTAGAATTGTCGGGGGGGGGTTCTTACCTCAATTTTGTTAATTGCTAAGAGATAAATGTTACTATTGTGGCCCGAAAAAGGAAAAGGAGACGAAATTTTCGTTGACGCAAGTGTTGACGGCTTGTCCGTGTTCACTGTCTATCCGTTAGTCTTTCCTAGCGATCAAAACTTTTCACTGTGAAAAGGCAGATAAAAGAACTCTCTCTCTCTATATATATATATTTTAATGACATAGTAACCAGCGCGAGCGAGAGTGGTAGAGAGAGAAGGTAGCTTACAGTAAGATTGAAACTATTACAGATGTTATAGTGGACAAATATGCACGTACGTACTTCCACTCGTTCATACAAAAAAAACTGACCAGCTTATATCTTCACGCATATGACGCTTTTCGTATCGGCCATACAGAAAAGTACGTCGAAATAAGTACTGCATGACAATTGTTGGCGTTGCTGGGTCCGTGTATCGAACATATTTCTTGTGCTTTTAATATACAGCGTTTTGGCATTCGGGCGCCTTTTTAAAAAGTAAAGGTCATCGACACACAATAAATGAACGATATCGAAACAGTAGCCGTAATAGAAGGTAAATACATTGCATCGAAAAATATTTAACATTTATTTAATTCATATATCACTTAAAAAAAACTGTTGGCGGTGAGCTTAAATACTGGATGCATGTCTTGTTTTCAATCCGTCTCTTCTTGACTTTGTTGCTCTTTCTGCTGTTGGGTTTGATGACCTCTGAGGTTTGCCTGCTAACAACTTAACTAACGGATCTACCCTTCACGGACTCTAACTCGTGATACGTGCTAATAATTCGACGCCATAACAAAAAATATACTCTAGCGACAACAGTTCTCTAAGTTAGTTTCGAGCATAAATTATGCGCGACTATAAATAAAATCGTTACTGTTAGTTTACCCAATACAAAGCCCAAGAGCCACTCAAGGTAGACAAATCGTAAGGGGGGAAATGGGGCAGTATTGTAAGGGCGAGAAGGATAGATATGGATTGGACCTAAACCAAAAATATAGTTGTTAGGGAACATTATCTCGTCTAAGTGGCAAATATGGATAAACATGACCGCATTAACTGATACGAGGTCGGCTGAAAAGTTCAGCGGCTGATCAAGATATATATATATATATATATGGTTGGATTGATGTGAGTTTGTTATATGTTAGCTCTATCTCTGATATTGAGCGCTTTCTAATAAGTACCGCGCATATAATACATAAATAATTATATATATATATATATATATATATATATATATATATATATATATATATATATATATATTCATATTTTCACACACACACACACACACACACACACACACATATATATATATATATATATATATATATATATATATATATATATTAAAGCATTTCACCCCAAGCAAGGCGCGAGTGCCACTAGGACGCAAGGGGTTACAGAGAGTGGGAGCAAGAGTAAAGAGGCGTGATAGAGGAAGATGAAGAGGAGGACGGGGAATTAGATCAATGTATCTGAAGATGTCGATTGATATTATATTTGAATAATTTAAGGTTATAGTTATCATGAAAGCAAGTAAGAGGGAGGGAGTTCAATAGGCGGAAATTGCGTGACATAAAGCTATTGAAGTAGAAGAGACAATTTCGACAGTGAAAAGGTGGGACCGTGATGCCAACCTAGTAGCACGCTTAAATACATGCAGTTTGGGAACCAGCGAAAGTAGCTCGTCGAAGCAGTTACCGTGAAAGTATTTGTAGAAAAGACAGAGGGAAGCGACGGCACGTCTTTGAGAAAGTGACTGCAGACGAGATGCCAGATCAGGACCAATCACATTGCATATCTGTCTTTTTTTTTTGATTTTGTGGAGGGCCTTAAGACGAACATATAAAGCAGCAGTATTCCATGCAAGGGCGAATGGTTGATTTATAGATTTGTAGGATGGACTCAGGTGAGAAAAATGTAAGTCGACACACCAGTTGGTAGACTAAAAAAAGACCTGAAAGTGTACTTGAAGGCAATAGCTGGTCGATGAGTAGCTGATTTCTGGTGCACTTGCGTATCTTTTAGTGATTTACTAAGCGAAGCTTAGATAGGGGTACAAGAAAGAAAGTATGGGGCACACATTGAGGATTGAACTCATTGCAATTGAGTAGTGAGTTCGATCCTAATTGATTGCACTGAACGTTTCAGCCAGCTCTCATCATTCTTTTCAAGTCGTTAATAGCAAATTTCGCCCACTATTTATCTTCATACGAAGTCTGTTAACCTGTTATAGAACTATATGATTCAATAACGGGGATTACACTGTTTTGTGTAACCCGGATATAAGAGAGATTTTCTCTGGTCCCAAATTAGAGCCTGTGTTAATGTATATAAAATAGACCAAACACGGATATAAGAAAAACCCGGATATAAGAGACTTCTTCTCCGGTCCCGACAACTCTCTTATATCCGGGTTACACTTTATACGAAAATTCAATGTATTCATGTGTTTTAGACATGGCCTCTTTTGGGTCCTCGAGGCAGAGATTTTTTTCTCAAAATCGAGTATTTGATATCCAGTAAATCTCAAAATCGAGTATTTGATATCCAATAAATCTACATGTAAACTCTCATAAATACTTTATTTTCATGATCAGATATAACAAACATATTCACTTAATGCACCAGCATAAACCATTATTTACGGTTACATTCGCCTTTTAGATTTTGCCATAGAGAAATGCTTTTTAAACGTTTATAATAATAAGATATTGAACTCTTAACAATTACAATGCGTGAAGTCCTTGCGAAACAATATAATAATACATACAGGCAAATGATAGCTCGTCAATTCTGGTACCCGTTGATCCGATCATTACTCTTAATTTATGCCTCAACTCCGGGCTGGTGGTAGATACTTTGGGTATTATCATATCCCTATATAACTCGGCTTACAATAGTTAATGATAAATACTAATAAAAACAAATAAGAAGTGTGATAAGTATAGTGATAGTTGAGCATGCGAATGTGTGTTGGACTGGGGTAGTAGAAAGTGCTTGTTCTCGACGAAGCTGAGGGTTGCTGTGAGTCTCTTCTTAGTTCTTGGGCCTTGGAACAAAGTACCTGTTGCAACCCCATCTGATAGACTCTTCGACGTTTCACCTTCAACTTTCAATTTTCTTTTTCGTTCTCTATTCTTTTTTTCTGTTCTCTTTCCATTTATTTTGTCATTCTATTTCTCCTTTCTTTCTTTCTTTCTTTCTTTCTTTCTTTCTTTCTTTCTTTCTTTCTTTTCCCACTTTCTTTTTCTTTATTAATGATTCCTCACTAGTTTCCTTTCCCCATTACGCATCTCTTTTCGTTACCCCTTCATTTTCCCTTTATTCTTTTCTTTTTTTTTTACACATACTCTTGAATTTTCTAAAAATTCTCACAATTCTTTCTTTCTTTCTTTCTTTCTTTCTTTCTTTCTTTCTTTCTTTCTTTCTTTCTTTCTTTCTTTCTTTTCCCACTTTCTTTTTCTTTATTAATGATTCCTCACTAGTTTCCTTTCCCCATTAACTCTCTCCTTTCGTTACCCCTTCATTTTGCTTTTCTCCTTTCCTTTCTTTTACACTTGATCATCAACTCTCTAACAATTAGAATAAGTAAAGTCTTTACGAGAAAAAAATTAATAATGCAGACCGGCACATGATGGCGCGGAAATTCTGGGGGGGGGGCGCTAGTCCCTGTTTACGCTAGTTTACTCACCTATGCATCTACCCCGTGTGCTGTAGGTAGATGCTTCTTAGTTCTTGGGCCCCCGGAACAAAGTACCAGCTGGACTGCCTTCTGGTTTTACATAAATATAAGGGCTGTCATTAGACACGAAATTCTATTTTGTATAAATTGTTGCTTTAAGTATTTTTTTCGACGACCAAATAGATAAAGAATTGTTATTCCCACCTGCTGCATATTTACTCCGAAAGACGTCATAAAAATACGCTCTTTCTCTCTTATTTAATTTTTACGAAATAGTATTTTGAATGTTAAAAAGACATTTAAATTGATGTCTTTTGTTTAACTACCGATCCACCTTTTTTTTTTCTACACACGCTACAGAGAATTACTTGCACTGTTTTAGATTTATTTTTAATCATTTCACCTCCAAGCAAGGCAATAATTCCACTAGAACGTAGAGGGTTATATGGAGTGAAAGTGGAAGAGGATGAGAAGACGGAGAATAGGGAGGATTGAGGAAAGGAGAAAAGAGGAACACAGTTCAAGATGACAGAAGATAGCGATTTGACTTTGCATTTAACTTTTTTTTAAAAGATTGTAGTTATCAAGGTGTCACGGTGGAATAATGAATAACGGCTCGGATTGAAGAATCGGAGATCTGAGTTCGAATTCCAGTCGAATCTATTCCATTCACTTACGTGCTAATACCCTTGGGAAAGGTATAAATCCTCTTCTTCCACCTTCAGGTATGGGTAAATAGCAAGACAGGTTCTATAGCCTTGGATGGCCACTGGTCTACCAGAAATGGCAACCTACTGCAGGAAAAATCTGCCTCGTCTGCCTGTATTACGCATGGCACATAACTGACTGAGTGATCAGGGAAAGGAGTTCCACAGGTGGGGAATGCGAGAAAATAAGTAGAGTAAATATGGCGGTTGTTTCTAGCACGTTCAACAGTAAAACGGTAAGACCTAGTTGCCAATCTAGTATCATGTTTAAATTCATCAAGTCGAGTTAAAGATGGCTGCCATGAAAATATTTGTAGGATAGACAGAGGAAAGTTACGTCGGAGAGAAAGTAACTGAAGTCGAGGAGGGTTAGGATTATTATTAAACCTTATTATTAAATTGGGGCACTTCGTATTTGAAATAAACATTTTTATTTTTTAAACAGTGTGTGTTGTGTATACCGGCCTGCGCATTCGAGAAATCATAGTAAAAAAATGTGTTCTGTGGCAGGGATCGAACCTGCCCTCCGCCTTTGTAAGCGAAACCATCTTTTGATTCTGCGTGATTTACCACTCAGCCAAGACTATATTACCACTATCCTCTTTACTCAGATTATTTTTTCGAAAGTGCATATCTGCTTCCGAATTTATTTTTAAACTGGACATTTATATTACTTTAAAGGTTATTATAATTGATACTTTTATATTTATATATATATATTTATATATATATATATATATATATATATATTTATTCGAAAATTATAACATAAATATGTTATAAAATCACTAAAAATAGCTATTTTGTTTCAACACTTCTGGTGTCTTAACAAGTGATGGTGTTGAATGTAGATTTTGATAAGACACCAGAAGTGCTGAAACAAAATAGCTATTTTTGTAGTGATTTTATAACATATTTATGTTATAATTTTCGAATAAATAATTATATTTGCTCTACTCTGTATTGAGCACCATTTTAAGAATAGTATTTGTTGGTTATTGGAATTTATTCCGTATACAATCCAATCCTTATATATATATATATATATATATATATATATATATATATATATATATATATATATGTGTGTGTGTGTGTGTGTGTGTGTTTTTGGGCATATATTTTCAGCCAAACATGTTTGGTTAAGTAATTTACACATATGTCTATATATTTTGGTTTCGATCATTTCAAGTCCACGGATTAATTAAAAAACAACAACAACAAAAAAAAAAAAAACAAAAACAAAACAATAAAAAAACAGCGTATTTACTTAAATAAATTATATCTATAAGTCGGACTTAATCCAGTTCATAATATTGTTTACGTTAAGATATGTTTCATGATCACGAAGAGAAATATTTTCACACTTACAATTAAAAGCTCCAAATTACAGAGAACCAATATTATTTACGAATTCATGTGCCCCTTAAAGAACTGTGTTTTTGATCAAGCCAAATTAATAAATAATTATATTGGATATACTACAACATGCCTAACAGGAAAACTCACGCCACATCTCTCTGACCATAGCTCAATTAGGTTTCATTTAAATATACATGAAGGCCTACCAAACTCTATTCGTAATGTACTTGTTGATAATACAAATATAATAGCCTCATCCAGATGTAAAAAAGGCTAAAAGTAACGGAAGTATTATTAATAAAAAAGGAAAAAGCCAACATTCAGTAACATCAACTATGAACACGACCACAATGCAGTAATCGTGTTTAGAAAATAAAAAATTCCTATAACTTTAAATACATGCATAAAACAATCCATACATTCAGTTAAAATAAAAAATAAAATCATCCTTGATAATGTCTAGAAGAATAACCGAAAGCGCTAGGACATGAAAACATTTGGAAAATTTCTACACAATTGCTGTAGCATACCTACGGACGATCTCACATAAATACAGTAGTAAATAGTGTATATTGCTCTAGAGTTGGAGATTCGTCTCCGGACAGAGAGGATCTCCAGACGAGGCTATGCTGAAGAGCAGATTCTCTTATCGGGAAACAGCTACCCGACCCCGTTTTATACGGGGACTACGGGGAATTTTTAGGCGAGCCTACCGGCTCGGATACCCCACATTAAATTCGGCCTTGTGCTACATCTGACCGCGTGGGGTGGTTGGTAGATAGTTGGAGATTCATCGTGGAATTCATTTGACTCACTTCTAGCGGTTGACTACTTCTTCTATGCGCCGCTGGCGAATCTTATATGTGTTGTTCTTGTCCTAAGTATTATCGTTCATTACCAACCTTATTCTATTCTGTAACTTTCCCTTGGTTACAATAACAATTTATGTCCAGAAATCAAGAACATTATGAGAACACAAGGAAAATTAAATAAAAAAAAAACTTAACCTATGTACTTTCACATTCGTTTTTAATGAAACTTGTATAAAATACACATATACGTATGTGAGTGTTGCTAAAAACGTGGTCGCACTCACATTACATAAATCAGGCCAAATGACGAAATATATTTGGGATTTGCTTCTTGGTCAGGACGAGAACTTTTCTGTGTATCTTTGTTTATGAAATCGTGGAAAGATTTGCTTATCTTGGAATATCTTTATTACTTTATAACCATCGAATCGGCTTAATAAACGTAGAGAGAGAGGGAAGGAGAGAGAGACAGAGAGAGAGAGATAGAGATAGAGAGATAGAGAGAGAAAGAGAGAGAGAGTGAGAGAGAGAGAATCAGAGAAAGAAAGAAAAAGGCAGACAGAAAGAATGAAAGAAAGAATGAAAGAAAGAATGATGGCGGCCATTTTCTTGATCGTCTGTTTTTATGAGAAAATTAATGAAAATTATCGGGAAGATCCGTGAATCTCCGTGCATTTATCTTTTGCTCGGTGCGGAATTTTTGTATCACTTTCCAGTTGCAAATCAAACGAAAACCTTCTCTTCTTTCGTTTGAGATTTTAATTCCTTTGCTGTAATTAAATCGATAAATTATTCAGATTTTTACATCAAGCCAATATTATTTGGCAAAGAATAATTCAACACTTGATTACAGAATTTACAAATCAGAGAATATCTAGAGATTACACCCGTCAAATCTCATCTTATATATAAAGTACAGTGTATGTGTGTTTGTTCGCGTGTGTGCCCAAGCAACCCCTTGCTAATCATTACACCACGTCGAAGAGTTCAAATGTTTTTCTAAGCGTCACTTAGATGTGACACAAGGCTAAAAGTATGGGGCACTCAAGGAGAAACCCAGTAGTTAAAAAGTTATAAATTAATTCTATAATCAAGTACAAAGTTCGATTTATTTGCGGAATATGTAAGAAATTTGTATCAAAAGAACGCAATTGAATTCAGGCAATTGTAGTTATCTTTTACATCAGTGAAAACGTTAATAAACAAAAACAAAAGGGGAGTGGCAATATAGCCCATTTTGCCTGCGAAAGAGAAGTTGGAGGGTGGAAAATAATTTCCCTCCCAGCAAGGACTCGGAGACGTTTTTGAACTCTGTCAAGACTGAAAATTGAAGAGTGGACTGCTCTTGATCAAATATGGCAACAGTACGCCATTTTCGGCCTGATATGGCAGACATATAACCGGTTTTACTAAAAAATCAAAATGGCGGAGATACATCCGGTTTTAAACTAGAGTAAAGCAGACATACATATTTCTGGGTTTACACCAGTAGTCAGAATTGTATAAATAGATCAGGCTTTTCA